GCTTTGTACCTCGTGTCCCTCCACCTACTGGCTCTGGTGAGCTTGGGCAAGTTTATCCTCTGGCTCAGTTTTATACATGTGAAATGAGAATAATAATATATCTTCTTTATGATGATGTCTTGAAAATGAAATGAGCTAATAAGTGAAAATCATAGAGAAAACTACCGAGAATACAGAAAAGACTCCATAAATTTTAGCTATTCTAATTTCATTAGTCTGATGATTAATATCTATTTTTATAACAACTAATAGCATCCTAAGGAACATGTGTCCCATGGAATAGAGAAGTGCTAGTACAGAAAGAAGATCTTATTTCAACCCCCAAAAAGAAGTTAGCACCCTCTGTATCATAAAAAAGCACTACTGACAAATCAATTTTAGTCTCTAATATCTATTTAACTTTCCTATGTATATTTCCCTGTCAGTAGATTAGCTAGTCCTTCTAGCCCTAATAGGGTAGAATTCTAGGGAAAATGCAGTTACCATGATAACCAGCAGCTGTTGCCCAGTCCTGGTTCCAACCTGATTTCTCTTAAAGTACTACCTTCTAGTCAGAGGCCCCATCAGATTCAAAGCTGTCCTCAAAGGACTTCAGGTTAGGAACCAGAGCTGCCCATCAACATGGATATGGAAATGACCTTGTACTGCCTCACCATAGAATTCTGAAGCATGCAGAGGGGAATAAACTAGTAACAGTAATGGTCATGCCAGCCTGCAAGCTGCCTACTCCAAAGAAGCCCTCTGCCCACTCCATGGAAGCCCTCTAATACCCCTCTGCCTTGGTTTCTGCCACCAAAGCTTGACCCATTTCTGCTGCTGTGATCTGCAATGCCCAAGGAGCCCTGTGCTACATGCCAGGCACTTCACTGGTCTGACTTGCCAGATCTTTCTAAGGGCTAAACTTTTCTTTCTCATTTGTACAAAGCCCCAGGCTGCAATTTCAATGCCTATACCCACCTTTGCTCAAACTTATTGAAATATCTCAAATTTAGACCTTACCTTGAGTCTAGCCTTGTTCCAGCAGAGATAGGGCTGAAGCTTCTGTCCTTGAATTTATGCTACTCATGCCTCTGCTTCCCCCCAGCTCAGTCTTTTAGGTTCCTAGGGTGCCCCATGGCCATGCCAATTTGCATCTATCCAGTCATCTAGTCCTCCAGCATTTATCAACTGCTCTCTACATACAGGCACTGCTCTGAGTTCTCTAGGTTCAATATTGAACAAAAATAGACACTCCCTGTTCTCATATAGACATACTTTAGTCATGGAAAAAGACAAATAAATGAATCCAATCATTTCAAATTATAAAAGTACTAAGCAAAAAAAAAAAAAAGGTGAAAGTTATAAAGTAATGGTGACTGGGAGAAAGGGATTCAGTGAAGAAGACAGGTTAGGCCTCTTGGGAGTGGAGACACCTGAGTTGAGACCTGAAGGACAATATGATGCCAGCCATGGTACAGAATGGTCTCCTCAGAGTGGAGCCAATAGCCAGTGCACAGATGCTACAGCCAGAACCAGCCTGTGATAGTGAGGGGGACATAAGGCTAGTCAGTGTGGCAGATCAGAGTAAAGGACAGGAAGAGAAAGTAAGAGGCTAGAAAGGGAGGCAGAGCCAGGTGGTGCCCATCCTCATAGGCCAAGATAAAGAGTTTGTATTTTATTCTCATTGTAACAGAAAGCCATGGAAGAATAAGTATGACACGAGGAATGATAAGTCCATCCCTCTTCTTGAAGCTGCAACAACTACAGTACATATGCACTCAGCAATATGTCAGGGATTCTGAACCAAATCCTGCATTCTGTTTGCTGATAGTCACACAAGGGATACTACAGTGCTGTAACCGAGTAGAAGCTAAAATTATAATACTACCACCAAAAGCTATCCCTGTTGGCCTGAGAAATGTTATAGCGTAATTCAAGAAGGCAAAATTTCATATATGTTAATACCTCTCATTAATAAGATAAACCCTTCCCCTTGGGATTTGGCAGTAATAACAACTCCAGCAGGAGTGSCATCCAAATCCTAAAATAACAGCTTTACAGAGAAAGTAGAATTGCTCACGGTGACTACCTCAGCCTGAAAAGTAAGAGAATTGGAAATGTAAAGATAGTATCTGTAACAAGTGTCATTCTACTACTTTACAGCTCTTGCCAAAATAGCTCTTAAAAAAAATGTACATGAAAGTGAGTTTCCAATTAAAAAAATAAATCTCAAATATAGGCAAATAGTGTCCCCACTTCTTGCAATTATAATAAATGATTAAGTAGGTGTCACAAAGATGGAAAGGCAGAGCATCTCTTCCAAATCCCGAAAGACACCTCCCTCATTTTAACTGATCCTTTGTCTGGAGTGAAGACCTGCATAGGGAAGCTGACTCCTGGAGTGTCCCTGATAAAATACATCTTTCCAGGGGTAAGAGCAGAGATGAAACTTTAGCAGACATTGCTCATAAGATTCTGCCAATTTTCTCTGTACTTCTCAAGCCAGTGTATGTGCTCCTGACAATAACATTCAGCAAACAGCCTAAACTCAGATGCAGTACAATCACCAAGAGAGGACAATGAGCAGTTAACATCCAGACTGCTTAGGAGCTCCTCTGATTAAGATGCTGAGAGCATACTGATGCCACCAATGACAGGGGCTTTCATGCACCTGTGTTTACATGAGACTGGGAGGGCACTTACAGAGGACAAGACATTTTCTGTCTCATGGAGAAGAAATACAGGTTAGCCCTCTTCTCAAATCCCTCAAACTTGGTTTAGATTACTCTTTTGCTTTTAGTATCTTTTAACACTCGTGTTGAGGTTACTTTGTAATAAAAGTACTCTCAATTTGTATCACACATGGACGACTACCTTATCTCCCCCAATATGCCATAAACTCCTCGAAGACAGAGTCATCTCTCTGGCTGCTCGCTTACCCCTGGTATAAAGTTTTCTAACAGTACATAAGAGAGACAGGGAAATAAAAAATAATAGTCTTCCAGCTTCACTCCCCCAAAATAACTACTATTAAGTTTCTTGTAATTCCCTCCATTAAACTTTGTGGCCTTACATAAACTTTTGTGTTATGCACTATTTAATCCATGGAGTAAAACTTAGAAGAAACGTGGATTGATATCACATAATTTTAAATCATTTCTAATTCAAGGAAGTATACAAATAAAGAATTATAAATTACCATAAAATAAGGGTACATATGTGGATGTACCCAGTAGATATATCCTGCCTCCATCCACCACTCATACCCCGTGCCCCCAGCTCCCAAGACTTTAGTAAGCACTGCAGTTGCGTGGCAGGTGGAGCAACCCTAGCACAGGCCTGGTGAGTTCAGTGCAGTCTCTAATCCACAGGTATTCTGAGGTCAACTCACTCCATCCTTTTGGATCTCATTTTCCTCTCCCCCGCCACAAGAAGGTGTCCCTTCAGGTCCTTTTGATGAASAGTCCAGGATTGAAGCTGATCGAGTAACACCATATACAAATAGGCATGCTAAGGCCAAAGACGGAACTTTTTGTCAGGGCCCAAGCTAAGAAACAGGCAGAAAATCATAGAAACAACCAATGCAACAGATTTCTAAGAGATTATGGGCATAAATTAAATTGAAGCAGCTATTTTTTAAATCAATTTCCTGAGATATAATTCCTAGAAAATCTTAGATGTCTCATTTGACCACATACTAGAGATACACCAAATAATATTTACTGCTCTTTAAGTTACCTTAGTATATGTCAGCAACTCTCCAGAAGCAGAACCATATTTATTCTTTCTCAGAAATGCTACAAAATTACATATAAGAGGTTGTGAGGGGAAAGGGGGGAAAAAAAGGAGAGAAATAAATTACAGCAGATGGGATAGAGAGAGAAGATGGGAGGGGAGGGGAGGGGGGATAGTAGAGGATAGGAAAGGTAGCAGAATACAACAGTTACTAATATGGCATTATGTAAAAATGTGGATGTGTAACCGATGTGATTCTGCAATCTGTATACGGGGTAAAAATGGGAGTTCATAACCCACTTGAATCTAAAGTATGAAATATGATATGTCAAGAGCTTTGTAATGTTTTGAACAACCAATAAAAAAAAAGAAATGCATGTGGCCTTCCTACAAGCATCTGAAGGCTTGTGATTACTTTTCCATTGTCATGAGTCACAGATGTGTTCAATTATACTCAGTATCTACAGGGCCACAAGTTAGGCCACTAGTTAACATCTTAATTTTATTTTATTTATTTTTTTGGTACTGGAGATTGAACCCAGGAATGCTTAACCACTAAGCCACATCACCATTTTCAGAAAGGGTTGCAGTAAATTGCTGAGGGCCTTTGCTAAGTTGCTGATGCTGGCCTCAAACTTGAGATCCTACTGTTTCAGCCTCCCAAGATGCTTGGATCACAGGCATGTGCCACTGTGCTGGCTTAACATCTTAATCCTCATTTGCCTTCTCACAGACAATTAGATGGCTATTAAGAAGAGAGTCTTCCTGCTGATCATCGTACTGGTAAATCTACATGCAGCACTGCATTGTACCAGGAACACAATTAAATATCCAGGGGAGTGGGAAGTGCTAAAAGAAGGACAGAGGAGAGAGAGGGAAATGGGAGTAGGGAAGATACTATCCAGGTTAAAGATTTTGATTTCAGGCAGCTGACATCAGTAAAGCCAATAGTAACGRTTGGATATTCTTGCTCTAGGGCAAAGCATAGAGGAGGGAAGTGGCATCTGCAAGTGTTGTTGCCACATCTTCTTGTTTTTTTCTATAAGAGGCAATAAAAATGGAGGTTCAGAGAACAAGCCTTGGGTTCTGCCACTGCTAGGCAACTCCCTAATCAGTTCTGAGTCTCCATTTGTTCATTACTTAAAATGAGGCAGAGAAACACGTACATTATGTTATTATTACTACTATTTGAAAATATGAATTTTCTTGGGCTATCTCCTCTGAAGGATCCTTGAAAAAATAATTACAAGTTAAAATGAGAAATCACACTCTAGAGTATCCCTTACCTGAAATGAATTCATTTGGCGAAGGGATGGTGGCAGGATGGCATTACTCCTTGATAGTATCAACAGCAGCTCCAAACAGGTTGCAGCAGGCAGGGTTAATGAGTGGACACTGATGTCACTTTCCCAGGAGCTGGCAAGCCTGGAACACCAACACATTGACTTTGATAAATGCAATGTAATTATTTTTTCAAATCTGACCTAGAAGAAGAAAACTTTCAGTTGTGGGAGAAAAAAATGCAATGTACAAAAATAAAATATATTAAAATTTTACAAAGAAAATGTCCAAGACATTTTTATAATGTTGGTAGTACAAAGCAGATGGATTAGGCAATTCTCAGGCCACCGTTTCTTACCCAATGCATGAGAGTCATAGCAAAAGCACTTATCTTTGTGGGATCTGCTGGCAGGGAGGTGGGGAATAATGGCTAACACATTGCGGTGATTCCTATGTTCTATATGCTCTGCTCTACGTGCAACATCTTGTTCACACCTCAACAACTTAAGCAAAGGAACTATTGTTATCCCCACTGTACAGATGTAGAAATGGTTTCTAAGCCAGACAGGCCTTTATGAAATACTAGTTCAGTGATTTTCAAACTTGTGAAAAGTAAAGAATCCTTTTGTTTAAAAAAAAAAAAATCTTGTAACAGCTCCAACTTACAATACAAATAAAAGCAAAGCTGCTCTGTTTGAAGGGCAGCATTGGCAGCAGGCCTCTTTCATCTTCCAGAGTGGCCCTTGAAGCGGCTCTGTTCTATCCTGTGGAGCCCATTTGAAAATCCTTTCATTTGAGAGATCGGGAAATTGAGGTCAAGGGACTTGTCTGAGATGAGACAGAGGTGTAGAAAGTGATAAGGGTGGGCCTAGAATCCTGGTTTTCTCCTCCTTTCTTTTTACTAGTAAAAAGAAAAAAATCAGGAAATAATGAGAAAATAACATAATAAGAATAATACAGCCAGGCACAGTGGTGCACATTTGTAATCCCAGCAGCTCAGGAGGCTGAGACAGGAGAACCACAGGTTCATAGCCAGCCTCAGCAACATCGAGGCCCTCAGCAACTCAGTGAGACCCTGTCTCTAAATACAATACAAAATAGGGTTGGGGATGTGGCTCAGTGGTTGAGTGTCCCTGAGTTCAATCCCCAGTATCTCCCCTCACCCAGCAAAACAGAATAATACAAGTAATAGGCTTTTGATTCTTCTACTTATCTATTTTCTTGCCTGATCCCCTACTGAAGTGTCTCCTACCACTTCCTAATTTTTAAGAGAAATATATAACCATATAATGTTTTATACTTATTTTATAAGGATGCATGTATCCTTTTGCCATCTCCATAAACTCATGTCTGTAAAGCTACCTTTGCCCAACCCAAATCAGTGGTGAGTAGTGGAGGTTTAAGGGGCATCGGTGATGAAGGCCATAATGGATTTTAGTGCTTTGTAGGAAGAGTCATGACAAACAGTACCAGTTCCATGCAGCCACAACACCAATCAGGTTGTTTATTATGCTAATGTATTTCTGATGTGGGTGGAGTTAAACCGCCTCTGAAGCATTTGCCGGTAAGCTGAACAGGAATGGGCACTGCTCACTTTCCTAAAAATGATCTAATTTCATCAAGGGCATGTTTGTCTTCTCTGTTTTTTTTTTTTTTTTTTTTTTGGTTATACATGGCAGTAGAATGTATTTTGACATACATACATATATGGAGTATAACTTCCTATTCTTGTGGTTGTACAGGATGTGGAATTACACTGGTCATGTACTTATTCATATATGAACATAGGAAAGTTATGTCTGATTTATTCTACCGTCTTTCCCATTCCCATCCCCCCTCCCTTGCCCCCATTACACAGTGGACCTCCACCCCCCATCCCCAACCGCACTTATTGTGAGTCAGCATCTGCATATCAGAGAGAACAGTGGTCTTTGGTTTTGGGGGATTAGTTTATTTCACTTAGCATTATAGTCTCCAGTTCCATCCATTTACTGGCAAATGCCATAATTCCATTCTTCTTTATGGCTGAGTAATATTCCATTGTGTATGTGCTTCTCTGTGTTTTAAAAATTATTATTTTATATTGACTGACTATTAATCTCTGTGGTTTTGCTCATTATATAGCATTCTCAAAATTTCTGCTGTCTTTTCAAAAAGTCAAACTTCGTTCTGTCACAGTTGACTCTCAAGTTCACTCTCCCCCTACTTTCTTATGCCCTCCACCATGCTGTTACTTTCCATCTCTGGGTGCTCTGTATGGCATATACAGTCTTCTGGGCCTGCAAGGCTACTCTCTTTCCTGATGAACCTCCACTCATCTTGCAAGAGCCACTCAGGTGTCATTTCTTTTGAGAACCTTGGGTCTAACCTGCCTAATATCATATTTGTATCTAATATAACGCTTACTAGTGCCCCTCTTAGTATTTTTATTCTTTCTAGATCAGACATGAGTGGATTTCTCTAACTTTGTAGGCTCATTTGGGGAAAAAGATTAGAAAGCTGCCTCAAAATTGCATTTCTGTAGATGCACTCACATATTAACTTTCTATTGACTTTTTTTCATTTACATTTGTATGTTTAAGAAATAATTTAAGTGTTTAGAATTTTTACCCTAGACAGCCCCCCCCCCCCACCATCTACAACCAGGATCACCAAAGCTACTTTCATTCTGAATTTTTTTTTTTTAAAGTAAAGTAAAAAAGGTTTTTATTTTTTCTCAGCAAAGGCCACTGGACACTGCCCAGGACTGTGAATGCCCCTTGGAGGTCTTCTGGGAATCTCCAAGATGTAACCCAGGTGGGTCAAGCTGCAGAGCTTCAGTAAGAGTCCCCAGGGATGAGGTGGGCTGTGCCACCTGTGGAGGGGCCTGCTGGAATACAAAGTCCTCATCATTTTCTTTCACTTTTGGTAGTAATATATTAAAAGATAAATTATACAAATAAATATTTTGASAAGCGGTATCTCCGTTTGGCATCACGTAACATGTTCTTCATAACAACATATGCTTAAATGTTATCAGCCCAGGCCTTAGGCACTTGAAATTCAGTTTATCTTAAAATGATCATCAAAGTGGTCATGTGGAGTTCAGGGCATGTGTGTTGACAAAGCCCAAGGTATCTGCCTCAACTATCCACCCATGGCTCAAATATCAGTATGATGTCCGTCAATGATACAGGCACTTTAAGAAACACAGGGCAAAATCTGGATTACTTATGGCTTTCCTCCAAAGACATCATAGGTCATTAAACCTAACTCAGTACTCTTCCACTGTACACCAACCTGAAGGATACTTCAAAAGGAACGATGAACGAGAAGACATCAATTGAAACCTATTTCCGTGATTTCCTGGGAAGGAAAAGCTTTCCTAAGAAGTCGGAACTGTCAGCCAAATGACCTTAAGTCTAAGCGACCAAAATGCAAGCAGAGGACATACCATCCTTGTTTCTAAAGTTCTGCCTCGAGAAAATTCCCTAGAGAAGCAACTATGGCCTATCTCCTTTAAAAGAGGCAGCGTGAAGGGGACAAAAAGTCACCTTCTACCACTTCTAACAAAAACAGTGAAATTGAGACTGAATCAAACCAATCAATATCAAGAAAATAACCTGAGAAAACAGAAGGTGATATAGACTTTTCGAAAATATGAGGGTCATTTAACGTAACACACTAAAATGTCAAATATATATTATATAACAATTCAGTACTAAAAATTAAAATATTTAAAGGTCCAACATACTATATAAAGAAGAAAAGTGACACAATATGGGAGAACTTGAGATGGAAACATTCACTTAAATCTCATGTTTCTCATCTTTTAGTAGATGATATGGAGTTTTCAGTCCTAGATGAACCAAAGAAAGCCAGGAGCCTAGAGGTGGGGCTGTGGCTCAGTGGTAGAGCACTTGCCTAGCATGTGTGAGGCACTGGGTTTGATCCCCAGCACTACCTAAAAATAAACAAATAAAAGTATTTACAACTAAAACAAATTGTAAAAAAATGAAGGCAAATAGACTTTTAAAGATATTGAAATACAATCTGTAGATTTTATAAATTCACTTTAAAAGTTGCAATAATGATAAGCCCATTAATTTGAGCTCTCAAAACAGCAAAACAAGCAAATGATAATTTAGTACTAGAATCATTARCAAGCAACATATTTAATATATAAGCTCTACAAGTAAGCAAAATTTTAAAAATTTTTATAAGCCATTCTCAAGAACATAAAATTCTGAAATAACTAAATGTGTTGGTGCATCTGTTGTATTAAATATTTTAATTTATATTTAATCAGTAGTTACTTATATAAATAAGTAAATACTGAAATTTATAAGTAGTGGAGGTATGTACATTTTTTCAGGATAAAATTTATATAAATTTTAATATCAGGTTCATTAAGTAATAAACTGTGTCCTTAAGACAATTTTCTCAAAAAATTTTAAAAGGAAAGTTTTGACCTTTTCAAATCACAAAGATCAACACTGGTCTTTAATACTCTTTGAATTAAAGTGCTCTTGGAAAGATGGAATTTAGGTACACAACTCCTAAAAACTATGCCTTTTGAACTTTGCTGGTAAGAACTCTAAGCCTGTCAAGACAAATCTCCCCTACATCAAAAAGTGTAGGAAAACGGTTCTACTTTAAGTAAGATATCATAAGACAATCTCATAATTACATGTATTAACTCTTGCCAAAAAATAAGAGATTTTTAAAATAAATAAATACCTGTATTACTGCAAGACACCAGTGACTTAGAATGTAGGAATAAGACTGGGAGTGTGTGTTCATTAAGGAGAGAACCCACCCTACCAACAAGCCTGTTGAAAACATCATAACTGAACATATATTATTGAGAGCATCCAAAGAGACCAGCTACTCCCTCAGACATTAAAAAAAAGTTTTGTTACAGAAAATTCCAAATATCCAAAAGGAGAGAGAAAAGAAAAGTGGGTCCATGTAACTAAACTGAGGAAAAACCTAAATAAATCATCTAGAGTTAACCTGCTTCACCTGCTCGTAGTTGCTGTATTTAGTTGAATTTTTAAAATTACCAGTTTTAGAGATCCATTCCACACGTGGGTCATGATGGTAACACCTGATACAGCTGGATGACCCATGCCCTGACCCTTGATGACTTCTTAAACTCTAAA